TCACAATCACAAAGATGTGCAATCAACCCAAGTACCCATCAATTCATGAGTGGATTAATAAAATGTGGTATATGTACACCATGGAGTACTACTCAGCCATAAAAACAATGAATTAATACTTATTGCAGCAATCTGGATGGACTGGAGACCATGCTCCTAAATGAAGTATAGTAAGAATGGACAAACAAACACCACATGTACTCAATATTAAATTGATACTAACAGTTGAGCACACAAGTGCACAGAGGGAAGTAAAACTCAATGGAACCAGGGGGGAGAGGGAGGAAGGGAAGGGAATAAACCTACCTAATGTACTATGAACATTATTTGGGTGAGAGGCACACCTATATACAGGACTCAAGCATTACAAAAATGATCCATGTAGCCTTAAATATTAATATTTTAAAATAAAAACTGTTCTCAAAACTATAATTATAGACCTCACGTCTTTACTCCTGGATGCTGTTAGAAGTTTCTGGGTGCTTGAATAATCACAATTATTGTTATTATTGTGCCCTCTGGCTTCCATAAAAAAGCAAATCTACAAGGATAATAACCAAAATGGAAAGTACTTTTTGTCAATAGTTAGATGATTGTCTTCTACCCTTATGCACAGCTCTGGTTAAAGTTGTGTTCAAAGATCTGATTTGAGCCTCAAGCTAATGCAACATTTTTTTTTTTTTTGTACCTTAAACCATGTATATTTCACTTTCATCTCCACCTAAGGATGGGCTCCTACAACTTCAGTGAGCGAGATGGCCAATCTAAACATGTCAACAAAGTCAGGGAAATGAAGAAAACTGAATAGCCAGAAATATTTCTCTGTCTCCTATTTAGTGCTGAGCTGGGCTGGGCTGCATGACATGGCCAGGGCAATGTAGAGGTCACTGTGTGGAAGTAGAAAGAACAGAAAGCTTATATCCCAGTGTTTTTCCACCACAGTGGATTAGAGGCCCAGCATTCTCCTTACATCTGTTACTTGGAACCAAGAAGTGAATGATGGTTTTCTGATTTTTTTATAATATGCTCAATCACATCTAGACATTTCATAATTTATAATCAGCACCTGATGCTTTAGCTTGTACCTTCCTCCTTCTTTTAGTATCAGTAGCCCCTTTCCAGTGCAGAACTGCTCCTCTGTTGTCCCAGGGAGGCTGGTCCCAGAGTTGTCCTTCTCTGGCATACAACCGAGACCTGGCCAATAACAGAAACCATCTATTTGGCAACAATGTTGGACCTGAGGATGAGCATATCACGCATGCCATTAATTTAATTTTTTCAACTTTATATTGGGAAGGGAAAAATTCCTTTTTATTCTTGGATCATAAACTTTAAAGGTGGATCCAGAGATGTTAGATAGTATGTATATCTGCTCTATGGCAACACCTGAAAGAAATAAGTCTGTGACAAGAAAGGCATAAAGGTGAAAGGCAAAGCAACAAGCACTGATGACACCATTTGGATTCATGAATCACTTTCCTTTTTTTGTGTAAGTCAGTGATTTCTTTTTGAAATGATTTGAGTTATATTGTTGTAAGTTGTAACTGAAATATCCTAATACTCATCTCAGCACATCTAAAGCAGAAGCCAACATTATACACCCCCCAATGTAGCATCTCTCCTATCTATACTGGTGGATGAGATCTCTAGCTACCTGCTCTCCCAAGCAAGAAATACAGAAGTCATTCTAATCCCCTTTATTTTGCTTATCTTAAAGATACACCTAACAGCCAATTGATTATATTTCTTAATTATCTTTCCCATTTGTCATCTTGTTCACATCACACATACAGCATTCCTCCTTAGTCTAGACCTTGTCATCTTCTAATATCTACCCAGTGAGCACCCATTGGCTTTCTGGCCATTTTATTCCTCCTTATTTTCCTTCTTCCCCCCAAAAACCCACCTCAAGTGATTTTCCCCCCTGTATTCTAAAGGATTGCTATCAGTCTCTGACTGCATTATTCCCTTTCTCCCTGTGTTGGTGGGATTCCTGTTACTGGATTCACCAGTCCCCCTGCTCACTGGCAGTGGCAGTCGTGAACTCCACACACAATTAATGTTGGGGTTAATGGCTTTGAATCCAGCTTCTAGAGTGTCCAGAACTGGTGGAGAAATCAATAAGCACATAAGGATCTCTCAGAAATACCTGGAAAGATTAACTGGTACAGGGACAGCTACATAATTTCCAAGAGCACAGTGTGAAATAAAAACATGGGATCCTAAGCCGGGCGCTGTGGCTCACGCCTGTAATCCTAGCTCTTGGGAGGCCGAGGCGGGCGGATTGCTCAAGGTCAGGAGTTCAAAACCAGCCTGAGCGAGACCCCGTCTCTACTATAAATAGAAACAAATTAATTGGCCAACTGATATATATATATAAAATTAGCCGGGCATGGTGGCACATGCCTGTAGTCCCAGCTACCCGGGAGGCTGAGGCAGAAGGATCACTCCAGCCCAGGAGTTTGAGGTTGCTGTGAGCTAGGCTGACGCCACGGCACTCACTCTAGCCCGGGCAACAAAGCGAGACTCTGTCTAAAAAAAACAAAACAAAACAAAACAAAAAAACCATGGGATCCTTATTCAAAATAGAGAAAAAATTGCCATTAAAGGCACTAAAATATTAACACAAAGATCTTTCTTTTCTTCCCAAATCCCTTTCAACCTGTCATAGTGTTTTATTTGTTACTTAATATTGAGCTCTCAGAATGAGGATGTTCATTGGGTTCAGATGCTCACAGGCACCCCATGATTTGGCATCAGCGCCGCCCGCTGGCTGCTGAGTTTCCATCCTTTCAGCCACCACTGCACAGCACCATGTTCCAACTTGTAGGCAGGGAAATAAATCTCCCCTTCTCAGGGCTTACTACTCCACCTGTGACAGACAGAAGCCCTCCAAGGATCACAACCTCAATACACAAAGGAGCCTATTCCCATTATCAGCATGGAGTGGGCGAGATGCTAACCTCTGCCTAGTGATCCACTGAATACACAGAGGAAGAGAGGCATGCCTGCCTATGGTGGTGACAATTACTGCCATGTCTGCTCTGAATGCTGCAAGGTCCCTACTCCATGTGGACCCTCCCCTGACACACACCCAGACTTGCAAAGGAAGCAAAAGACAGCATCCATTGCTGGGCAGGGTCAATGAACAGGAGATAGGGGAGAGGGGGATTGCCATGGTGTAAGGATCAGGATTTTGAGGACCTACCAAGGGAAGGCAAAGAGGCAGGGTAGGAGTTAAGGCTGCATATGATCAAGACCCCAATATATGCTCATGGTCCTATCAACTTCACTTACAACAGGTACCTTCAAAGATAAAATTATCAAGACTTTTAAGATAATGACCAGAGAGCATTAAACTCCAAGCACAGCATTGTCCCCTATGTAACCGTACAGGTCTAGTGTGCATGGAGACTGCCCTATTTGTGAACAAACAGTATTTCTGTCAATCTGGCTAGTGAATGCTCGGCAGAAATGTAATTTGAAGCATGTTTATTGAGCATTTTAATCAATAGAAAAATGGATCTCTAACTCAGAAGCCCTGCACGTAAACCACATAAAACTGCTCTGCTTCATCTGTCAGAGGCAGAAGACCAAGCAGCAGGTCCACCCAGTATCCCCTCCTACCTCGTCCCTCCAACCCTAACTATGGCCCAGGAAGCACTAAGTACTCCCAGTGTAGGAAAACTTTGGCATTTCATGTTTAATTGACTTTCATTTTCTATAAGTTTCAGAAAGTAGAAAGCCTGTATTTAGTGACAAATCATTGTTTTAAATATTTCAAGAAGGAAGTAACCTATTTGACCCTGTATGTACTACTAAAGTCAAGCGTAAAACAATAACTTTTGAGTCATTGTTTTAAAACCAGGAATTTAACATGTATTCATTTCCCTTACCATATACCTACCTATTATTGTCATTTCCTATTATTTTGTTACTTTTATCTGTGGTTAGAAATCTGTGATTATGAATTTCCAACAACATCAAATTCTAACTACAGGAGCACTTTGAGTTTTCACTTTACTTTTGAGAATTTTTGGAGCACACTCTTAAAAATCTTTAACTACATATTTATAACAAGTTTTGTTGCTCAATACTAAGCAATTCACATGTACTTCCTCATTTAAGATATCTTGGGTATGATTAAACTCCCGGTTGGGTGGGTGGAGTATGTTTCTGATTTTTTGTTTTGCTTTGTTTCTTTCATTTATGAGAGGGGCGTGAATGTTATATTTTTGCGACTTTGGCATATGTAAGAATGTTTTCTGTTACTATTACGTAGACATATTCAATTCTCTACTCAAATTTAATATTCAAAAGATTTTTATCTTTTTATTACAACTTTTAAAATGTCTTCAAAATGCTTTTTTTTTAACATTCCATCCTGCTTTTACCTTACTCTTTACAGTTTTTTCATTCTGGTTTGGAGTGAGATCTATCTAGGTGTAGGATTTGTAGACATATTGCTAACAAATTTTGCCCATGGCCATCTGCACTGTCACTTGTGTGCTGGTACAAACATCCCCTCAACTGTGCACAGCCCTAGCTCCACTTTTGATACTTCAGAAACATTCATCTGGCACTGATGTGGGAAATCCTGCTCTTACTTCTCAGTTCTTTACCATAAGAGAGATAACATACAATATATCCTAAGGCAGCCTTCAGTTGTTTAATCAGGTGCAGTCCATGACAAATAATACTTCCCAGAAAGCTCCATTTCCAGTGCCCTTCCTGTATCTGCTTCTATTTATATAGCCTTGCCTGAAAGGTCATTTTCCCTGGATGAGAATGCTCCTCTCCACATCTCTCCACCACTAGCCTTGTTATACAAGAGGCGCTATCTTAGATGAGGACCCTTGAGAAGGGAGAAACAAGATTTCGGCCATCTCAAAAACAGTAAATGGGTGGCTGCTCAGTTTTTTGATTAATGTAATATCTAGTGTCTAAAAATCAAGCAGTAAAAATGAATCAAATCCTCCTTCTCTCCATTTTATTTCCAGCTTTGTCATTCTAGTTCAGCAGGTAGATTGCATGCAGGCCACTGGTGATGCTTCTTCCTCCGTTTGCTGCAAGATTAAAGTTGGTGGAAAGTCTTGTAAGTGTTTGGCATATGCATTTGATTCCTGTCCTTATTTTTTAAGCTATTGTTATAATCATTGCCTTTCTGTATGATTCTGCCTATAATTTATTTGCAATTTGGGAGAGAGCCTACTATCATAATCTCAACCCAGAAGTCAGGGTCTTCTAAATGCAGGTGTAATTAACAGACTAATGAATGTCACAGTCATTTTATTATTTACATGAAAACAATTAACAAACCCAAATTGAAGCAGTGTTATTGAGTGGAAAGAAGACCCGTGTCAGAAAACTTAGAGTCATACCTCCATTTATTATAATAATTATGTGACCTAAGGTGAGTCACTTAACCTTTTTGAATATGTTCATTTATTCATAAAACAGTAATAATCATGCTTATTTTAAAGACCTTACAGAGGTATTGTGAAGGATAAATGGGTTAATACCTGTAAAAACTCTTCATAGTCATTAAGGCTCCATCCCCAATTACTACTATCATGCCCATGACCTTGGCTTCATTAGAGCCTCATCGAAATGTGAGCTAACTGAGCTCATGGGTCACAGAAGTGATTCATTAATATTTATTTACTGTTTTTAGCCATTATTGAATATGATTTTAAACATAAAAAGTAAATGGTAATTGCAAAATGCTCTGTCTAGCCCTTGCCATTAAAGAAAAAGGGAAAAAAACTTGGTTTTTTTGCCCAAGTTCTTAAATTTACATGAAGTTTATCTCCCACCTCATAGAGTACTATTGTTTATTTCATATTTTTTCTTTATATCCATAAGAACATGTAGATTTTCAGATTTTAATTGTACTAGCTTTAAGCAGCACAAAAGATGCAACACCAAATGAAACCAAGGGGTCACAAATACACTTTTGCTGTTATTAAATTTGATTAGAACACAAGAATAGACAACTAAATTGGAAATTCTTGTGTAGAAAAAAACAATGAAAAACAGGTCGTTAATTGCCTTTACAACTTACATGCAAGGGTTTTTAAATAGAGTTATAATTTACAGTCTAATAAATGCCATAGACATCTTGCTATTTACCATGAGAATTAACAAACATACAAGGACAGACTACTTTGGAATATGGCAATTTTAAGGACATGGAAATAAAACACACATCAATTATACATTTTGTTTTTAATTGGTATATAATACATTCCTATAAGAAATGAGATAATGAAAACTTCTAGGATTTTACTCCTAGTTTCAAGTGAGAATGAATAAAATGACATACCTTCATGGCATAGCAAATAACATTTTTAAGAAGTGAAATATTTTATTAGAATATTCCAAAACCTTCTCTCTTATTTCTTTAGCCCTCGACTCTTGAAAGAAATCTGTAAATCTGTCTTCACTTTTTATGTGAATATGATCTTTCCATTCCTCTTGCAGGTGAAAAAAATTAGATAAAGAGAAATGAAGGAATATAAATATCCTTATCATTTTATATTTTTGGTTATTTTTTCCATGTCTTTTCTTTCTAATAAACTAGTTGTACCTTAAGGAAAAGACCATGTCTTATCTGTCCTAAACATCCATAGCCTTGAATATAAAATAGTTGCTCAGTGTACACCATCACAGACTTATGTCCCTCTGGCGCTAATATATGCATGGAAGGAAATGGTCCAAAGCAGGTCTGATATCTTTAGCCTCTGGATTCCTTGAAACATTAACTTAGGAAATTTATAGAAAGATATTGCAAGTCTGAGAAGTTTCTCAAGACCACCCTCATGTGCAAAAATTCACTAGAAGGACTCATAGAACGTAGAAAAGCTGTTATACTTATGGTTGCAATTTATTATAGCAAAATCAGCAAAGATAGGGGACACATAGGGAAGGTTCTAGAAGAGTACCAGATATGAGCTTCCAGTTGTCCTCTCCCAGTGGAATCTTGTGGACAGTGTTAATTTCTACCAGCAATGATGTATGGCAATCATTGATAGGTATTTCCAACCAGGGAAACTCACCTGAGTGTTGGGGTTCAGAGATTTTACTGGAGATCAGCCACATAGAAATTGCTGACAACCCATATGACTGGCCTTAGTCTCCAGCTCCAGAAAAAGTTGAGCTGATACCACATGGTTCAAGGTCCCTACCATAAATCGCACTGTTGGCATATATCCTCTGGAGTGGCCCAAGACTTCCAATTAATCAAAGATACAGAGCCTAGGATATGTCTATGTCCCACTATCTTTTTCTAGTTATACAAAAACATTCCTATCAGGCAGGGCATTCCAAGGACATAGAAGTTATATGGAAGGAGCTCGGGACTAAGGGCAAGGTTAATCCTTTATTGCATATATCTGCTAATCTTCTATTTATACTATGTTTACTATTTTTATACCACATGCACCATATTATCCAAGATAATGGTAGTAAGGTAAGCAATTTATATCACGAGGTAGAGAATGCTTTATTATAAGTTCCAAGTTGGGGGTGGAGAAGGGGATTGATAGTATAAAAAGAGCTATTATGGCCATATTTTTTAAAAAGCTGCCAGTGATTCATTTTTTTAAAAAAGATACAGAACTTTCTCATAGCACTGCACCTCTCTGAGTGGTTAAGTGCTTATAAGGTTTAGAGATGCCTTCCGGCTAACTTTGAAAAGGACATTGTAATATTATATCTATACATCTTCTTTCTACTCATATTCCTCCCACCACTAACCCCTCCCAAAGAGACATATCTGTTTTCTCTGAGCATATTTGATTGATAGCTACAGCAAGAAACTCTCTGAAGGTTTGGTCAGAGCAGCTATGGTGTCATTCAACCAAGACTGATGAAAACAGGACTGCATATCAGTGTTTATTGAGTTTAATTGCCCCTGCAAAACCTTCAGATCTTCCCCATGGAAACAGACAATTACAGGAGTTTAAAGTTCCTCCAGAAACACTTACAAAAAAAGAATTCACTCAATGTTATAAAAATTGCCACACACACATACACACACACCCCCACACCCTTTAATAACCCAGTGTTTAAGACATTTTTGGCCCCTATGTTGTCATTTTACAATTGAGAAAACTGAGGCTTAGTCAGAAGAATTAACCCAAGGTCTAGAAGCTAGTGAGGAGAAGGACCACTTTAAGATATTAAACTCTGGGCTCTTCCATCTCACGGGGGCATAAAATGCTTCTGTCTTAGTGGCTTATAGAGAGTTCAATCACAAATGAAACTCAGTTAAGACTCAAGAAGGACAGCCACCTCAGTAATCTTAATTTGTTTGGGCTTTCCCTACTATTGGAAACCTGGCCCTTCCAGCTATATAGAATTACCTGGAAAAGCACAGATTATCTGGGAGTTAAAACACAAACTCAGTGCAACTCTATTCTTAGACTACTTGATGCTTGACTCCCATAGAGATAACTGAAGTGTCTTGTTTCAGAGCACTAAGAGAAGTTCGTATTTTGGAGTTAAGAGTATCGAATATTCCTGGTGGACAAAGGCCAAGGTTGCTTTTTCTTGACATCTTTTGTGCCTAAAATGGCACATGGCACTTAGTAGGACTCAGTACACATTTGTTGATGAAGGAGAAAGGCCTAGGTGTCTCCTCTGTCCTTTGGTAAGCTCTCACTGACAAAGCCATCTCCTAATGAAAGGTAGTGTGGACAGCTGGTGAGGATGTGAACTCTGTCCACCTTCAAAGCCCAGGCCTGACACTTCTTATCCAGTGACTTTGGGCAAATTACTTATTTTTCTGCATGTCTGTAAAATATTTGTGATAACAATATCTCATTGCATCATACGGTTATATAATTGTGAGGATGAAATAGCTTTTATCTACTTAGAGTAGTACTGGTGCTTAATAAGCACTGTTTGAGTCTGCAGTTATTATAAATATGGATTTTTAGGGTCACAACTATGCATGCCAGTCATGGTTTAATAGATGTTACATGTAAAGGATTACCTGAGTTTATAAGATACAACGTCTACACTTACACAAATGTATAATCTTAGGGTTTGTCATCATAAAGAATTTTTATGAAATTCTTTGGTGTCTATCTACCATTTTTAAAATTGCTCCCCTCTTCCCTGACAAAAGAAAACTGGTTAATAAAAGTTTGTGATTAGGTTCTCATAATCTACTGTAATATTCAGTTGATTAAACCAAAATAAGTATTGGTAAGTCAATATTCTGTAATGAAGATGGGTTTCCTGCTTTGTATTTGTATATACACTATGCAATGACTGCAACAGTTAGGTAGAGACTGTCTGACATAGATCTCTGCCTAAACAATACTGAGATAGGATATTTACTCAAACTAAAAACATTGATTAAGACTGACTCATTATGCAATAGATGTTATGGAACATACTATTCATTATGGAATATATAGTAGCTTAACCATAAATTATAAATTGGGTGTCCAATATATATTTCTTTAATAAATGAATGACATGGGATAGAAAAAGCTGGTGAAAACCCTTAGCCTATAGTATGGATTTTTGTTGTCTAGGTTTCTCTACTTTTCTTATATATCAATATATTATGGGATGTACTTCCCAATATCAGGGTCCTTATATCTATTTGGAAAAAATTCTTAGTTCATATATATCCATAACTTCTCAAAATATTCTTTATGTATGGAATTTTTTCCAATTAAGCTTCTTCATGCAGTTTGTGCAATCAGCTGAGCCCTTTCCTGCTCTGAGCTGCTGCCCTTCTCCCTCTCCAGGGCTCCATGCATTTGCTGTGTTGGGTGGTGAGAAAGGTGCTGTCCTAGTCCTTTGTTAGAAAGAGTCAGTCACTTCCTAGTCCAGATTTAAGCTGAAAACAAACTGCAGGCCCCATTCGGATAAAAGCATAGGTCCCAGGATGAACTTTATGTGACTTTCATACACATATAATTAATATTAATTATATATTAAATTACTCCAGACTGCAGCAATTTAAGGATATTATGTGTTTAACCATTTTATGGTCACTACTAATGTGATATTCTCGAGTTAAGCTGCCATTTGAAAGAGGAGCATTTCCTTCCTAAAAGA